GCATCTGCACAAATAAACAAATGCACAAATATTATTTTAACTTTGATTATTTTATAGTTTCAACAATATAATACATGTACAATCAAATAAATGTATACTTATAATTTTAATCATTCTTCTTAAGCAGTTTGACACAATTATATTAAGTTTTAACGAAATTGCCGCTGGTGGCGAGTTCCACTTGCTACATTTTTACAGTCTACTCTCTTGAATTTGGGAAGCAAACTCAGGTTATTCATCACATTGTGAACTTAACAATGGTCCAGGAAGATAAACAATTACACAGTGCACCTTCCACTGACCACCATTTCAATACATATTATGGTTTGCAAATGGTTACAAGACTTTTACAAGCCTAATCCATTTTTGTTCAATATCCAAAACTGGAGCTATCACTTAACCCATTACTTCATGAGCATTTTGTGAAAAATGGCTGTTTTCATTGAAAAGTCTCCCGTTACAAGTTCAAATTGCTATAATACTATAAAAACTGCTTCAACACTAATCAAACTTCAGGGCTCGAATTTAACACTCGCAAACTCGCAAAATGCTAGTTGAAAAATGATTTTGCCAGTTAGATTTATGACCACTCGCAATTTTTTGTGAGTTGAAGAAAAAACGGAATACGCTCGTCAGGAAAATCCGAAATATAAATGGGGCGTAATATTCGCATGTAGCCGAGTTATAAACTATGCGTGCACTTGCTGTCTGGTTTACATTTTCTATACCTTAACCTCGCTAAAAAAGTACACAAATTTAAACCAGTGCAAATGTCATTTTGTCCGTGTAAATCAAGCGTGATCGGAATAAAATGTCTAAACGAAAAATAACCAACTTCTTCCCACTTACTGAAGCAAATGTGTCTTCCGATAACAATACTCTGAGTACAGAAGATGATTCACAGTAATCAAAAGAAAGACAATCAGACCTTCAGTTAAAACGGTTAAACAAGAGGGCCATGATGGCCCTGAGGTCGCTCACCTGTATATAGGCCCCCCACCCCCAGGCCAATTTTTACCCAAGGGCTTTTATTTGTTTATTTGAACAGACTTGGTAGACACCCATAAGAAGATGTTTCATGCTAAACATCTAAGTTCTAGCTCATTGGGTTTTTTAAAAGAAGATTTTTAAAGCTTTTACTATACACATATAGTTAAAAAAAATGACACCCCTGGGGCAGGGCCAGTTTTGACCCCCTGGCTTTTATTTGAACAAACTTTGTAGATATTTACTTAAAGATGTTTCATGCTTAATATCTAAACTCTAGTTATTTGGGTTTTTTCAAAGAAGATTTTTAAGTTTTTGCTATACACATATAAGGAAAATCAATGACCCCCCCCCCCGGGCGGGGCCAGTTTTGACCCCAGGGCTTTTATTTGAACATACTTGGTAGACACCCATTAGAACATGTTTCATGCAAAATATCTTAGCTCTAGCTTATTGAGTTCTTTAAAAGAAGTTTTTTAAGTTTTTACTATATGCATATAGGGAAAATCAATGACCCCCTGGGGCGGGGCCAATTTTGACCCCAGGGCTTTTATTTGAACAAACTTGGTAGACACTCATTAGAAGATGTTTCATGCTAAATATCTTAGCTCTAGCTCTTTAGGTTCTTTAAAAGAAGATTTTTTAAGTTTTTACTATATGCATATAGGGAAAATCTATGACCCCCTGGGGCTGGGTCAATTTTGACCCCAGGGCTTTTATTTGAACAAACTTGGTAGACATTCACTAGAAGATGTTTCATGCTTAATATCTAAGCTCTAGCTCTTACGGTTCTTTAAAAGAAGATTTTTTAAGTTTTTACTATATGCATATAGGGAAAATCAATGACCCCCTGGGGCGGGGCCAATTTTGACCCCAGGGCTTTTATTTGAACAAACTTGGTAGACATTCACTAGAAGATGTTTCATGCTTAATATCTAAGCTCTAGCTCTTACGGTTCTTTAAAAGAAGATTTTTTAAGTTTTTACTATATGCATATAGGGAAAATCAATGACCCCCCGGGGCGGGGCCAATTTTGACCCCAGGGCTTTTATTTGAACAAACTTGGTAGACATTCACTAGAAGATGTTTCATGCTTAATATCTAAGCTCTAGCTCTTACGGTTCTTTAAAAGAAGATTTTTTAAGTTTTTACTATATGCATATAGGGAAAATCAATGACCCCCCGGGGCGGGGCCAATTTTGACCCCAGGGCTTTTATTTGAACAAACTTGGTAGAAACTCACTAGAAGATGTTTCATGCCAAATATCTTAGCTCTAGCTCTTTGGGTTCTTTAAAAGAAGATTTTTTAAGTTTTTACTATATGCATATAGGGAAAATCAATGACCCCCTGGGGCGGGGCCAATTTTGACCCCAGGGCTTTTATTTGAATAAACTTGGCAGACACTTACAAGAAGATGTTTCATGCCAAATATCTAAGCTCTAGCTCTTAGGGTTGTTTAAAAGAAGATATTTAAAGATTTTTCTTTCGGTTGCCATGGCAACCAGAGTTCTGCATGGAATTAAATTCTTTGAACAATTTTTAAAGGTGACCACCAAAGGAACATTCCTGTGAAGTTTGGATGAAATTGGCTCAGTGGTTTATGAGGAGATGTCATTTAAAGCAAAAGTTTACGGACGGACGCCGGACGGACGGACGCCGGACGAAAAGCGATCACAAAAGCTCACCCTGTCACTTTGTGACAGGTGAGCTAAAAATGGGAGAAAGAACTGCACGTCAGTCTTACGTACGAACTCAATGACGATGGAAATGTTGCCAAAATATTTTGTGCCGATTGTTGTGCGCATAATCCAGACCATACATCGTCGGTATGGCGACAATATTGCATTCTTATTTTTTTACATGTATATTTACATTTGATAAAGTTCCCTGCCCCCTATATCAAGTTTTGAGTAGAAAGTTACGTTGCTGATTCGTACCCCGGGCAGTTCGAACTCGTCCAAATAAATGACAATTTTAATTTTGTTATTCTCTATATCCAGCAACAACTTTGTCTTTCAGCACATCAAATAATTAAATTTATTTTGGAATTAAAAAATCATTGTCGTAAAAAGTGCTAGTTGAATTCAGTTTTTGCTAGTTAAAAATTTGTCCACTAGCAAAAAGTTGCTAGTGGCCCAAAAAATTAAATTCGAGCCCTGAAACTTGGCACAAATGTTGACTGTCCTTGAAACAACATGCTCAGGCTTAAATTTTCTGTTACCATGGCAACGAGGGGACATCTCAAAATTGCCAAAAATCACTATTTTGCATTGATTTTTTCCATCAAAATTGATTTCAAAGTGCTGCAACTTCTCAATGGATTGAGATAGAGTCAAATGCTTTTCAGCGTTGGTTACACGTTACCTTATGATCAATCTGGGGTCATTTATAGCCTCTCACAAGTCCAAAATTTTCTTGGCAATGAGGGGGACTCCGCCCCCCTTCAAACCCCCCAAAAGGGAGCACAACCCCCTTCTGGCAACCCCCTGATATATCTTTTGGTTGGGGGACGGGCCGAAAAAAGTGGTCAATTTTTTTAACATTTCTCAAACAAAAACAAGCGTTGGGGGCCTAAATAAGGCATTTTTTCAGCATTAGAGACAACAAAAAAGGGGGGGGTGAAAAAGGCGTTAAAAGGCGTGTATATCGCGTAATGGGTTAATGTGATTCATACCCCACCCAACCTTAAATGATTCACTCCACACCCCTACCTAACTAAGTGAAAAATTAGTGGTATGAAACTTATTTTAAACCTGACCAGTATTGTAATATGTTTCATCTGTGCACCAAAAATTATTGCAATTTGTTACCATGTTAATGAGTAATCATCTTGAAATCATACTTTTTAAAAAGATATTAATACTAATAAATAACAGTAACTGCTCTAAAAACAAAAATCTTTTATGATTATATATTTTAGCTACAGAACCATATTGAAATGAGCATTTTGCAAAATAAAGTAGTATTGCTTTTGACAAGACAAGGCTTTTCTTTCAAAAAGACCAAAAACATCTCCCGAGGTTCCTATTTTTAGTGACCTATCAGAATTTGAAAATTTCTGCTTAGCTGCTTGCTTTGTTCAAATTTCAGCTCGCATACCCACAAAATACAAGTTAACTATGAAAATTGCTAGTGACTAACACTTGCAAATTCTTTCACAATCGTTTTCAATTTAATAATCATCATCTAATGATCTATCGGCTATAATGATGTTTATACTATATCTGATTGACAGCTTATCGTGTGTAATCACTTGCAGCATATGTGTTTATATTTTTTTTACTAATTGTGTTTATAAATCCTGTGGTAAAATTAAGCATATGAAGAAGCCAAACTTTGTTATCTACGCTTCCAGCGGCAATAAAAATTTGTACTAGGACGCTGAATCAGCCATCACCAAAAACTCTATAGATACCAAAGAGGACTATTTTATTTCATTATTTACAACAGTATATTAACTTGTATTTCTACTAATTCCACTGTTTACTACTCCCTTTCACAACAATATAACATAACAAAACAGCAGTGTGCACAAGACTGGATGAAAATGATAATATGGCACTTATCTCCTGTTGTGTGTCTTGTTACATTATATCCCAGATCCAGTTTACAACTAGCAATATATCTGTGATTCTTTGTAAAAAATTAAATTCTACAGTACATAACATGTAAATACTTAAATAGTAGTAAAAAAGATCTAGGCTACAGAACACTACAAAAGTAGACCTTTATCAAACTACTTTCATTTCCAACATAAATGTGAACAAATTAAAAGACAACAATTTAGATAATGAGTGATTTTCAAATTGAGTGACACTTACTTTCCAAGTATCAATCAAAGTAAAGACACCAAATCTTAGATCAAATGAAATTTGTGTTGTTATTTTGTGTGAAAATAAGCTCTCATTAAGTAAAGTTCAAAACATGTGAACTTCATGTTTCAAGGTAAGTAAAAATTGGAAACAATTTTATGTCAAGGTAAGTAAAAATTGAAAACAATTTTAAATCATACCTTGATATCTTTCAATTTTCATCTCAAACACACTTCCATACATAAAACATCATTTATGATATTTCATACACATATGTTTATTTGTAATATCCTGAGGTGAAGAGTGTCCTTTGTCTCAGTAAACAGTAATGGAACTGGGTACTGTGTGAGTCAGAGTTAAACACTCAGATGTGTGAATCATCAGAACAAGAACTATTACAAAATATTAATAACAGTTAACACTTTAATTCTATAAAACCATGTTGAAACCAAAATGTTGTCAAATTAAAAGCTTCTTCCACTGTAGAATGTCAATTTCTCAAAATAACCAAGCTTCCCTTGTGTAAAAAAATCCTTTCTTCTCTGTAAACAAAGGGACCTCGAAAAATGACATGAACGTATTTTGAACCAATCAAATTCAGCGTCGGCAATTTGCCCGTGCTTGATCATGTCTGCAAATTTGACAAATTAGACCACGTAAATCAAAATTGCAGTGCTTTCTCCAAACCTTGCAAGAATATCAATCTTAAATACTGCTCTCCTGCAAATCTAGCTAAAATTTTAACCAATTTAATACAGGTGTTACTTGCAAATATGACTGATAATGTTAAATAAACATCCTACTTTTCAACGAAAACATCCCCAGTCATTGGCATTTGAATACGAAAGAACGTGCACCGCCAAAATTTTACAGAACCACTATTGACAGTCAGCGATCGCATATTTTTACACTCAAATGTGGTGGTTGGAATACACATTTAAATAGACAAACAAATATCAAGTGTCAATACTTACAAATAGAGCAAATATAAGTGAGTAATTTTCCTTTGGAAGACATGTGCTAGCGTCCCGCCATGACAAAGAACAGTTTGCCTCGTTTTGAACATGAATACCTAATTGCATTAATTAGATATGTAGCGCCATCTACAACGGGCACCTTGCTACGCGTAAAGGCGCCAATTTTGTATTCTTGCTGTTCACGTACCTGTTCACGTACCTGTATGGTATGCAATATGAGTTCAAAACTAGCCGCTACACTATTTAGAAAATATATATATATATATTTCAACGTCTAGAAAATTATTATAGCCGTTGAGATATGATTGAAAAGGCGTAGATTATCTATATATTTAGTTGTATTAATGTATGTGCTGGGATTGAGAAATATACATTTTAACCTCGGTAAATACACGTCGTGGTCTGCTACACAGGTCATCGGCAGAAGATTTGCAGCTTAGCTGGACTTCAATTAACCAAAGACACGGTTGGCAGGTTTAAGATCCTGTGCGCTCGTTTTTGTACAGAGGGCAGATTCTTACCACATTGCGTTGAAATATCGCATTCTATGAACATGTTGCCATTGTTTTGACTGAGTAGGCAGGGTCGACGAGGAAAGACAATTGAGTGCATGAGCCCCTGTAGTACAAAAGACGGCTTGAACGACAGCACCCTCTTCTGAAAACAACAGTCTTTATTAAGGCTAACCTTTTTCAGTACTGTCACCAGTTGCAGTATTTTAATATGGTGGCTGATTTGGAACACTTTAGTGCGTCTTGTTGTCGCTAGCGACAAAGCGGCAAACTGCGCGTTGCCACACTGTCGCCTTATCGTCCTGTCGCTAACGAAGCACACAAAACCGTGCGTTGTCGTGTTTAATAGTACCGTCCGTAGCTGACCATGCAATAAAGTATTTTATCACACACCCGTGCCGATTTTGCGACTCCGTAAATATGGTATTGCACGGCCGTGCATATATTTTGACGTGACGTCATTAGCGTTATACAAACATAGTGTAAAGACGCGCTAAATGTTAGCGAATGTTCTGACCTATAGTCCGATTGATAAATTCCATGACATGTTAATTTTCTAACACTACTAAGCTATGTGCGAATTCATCGATATTTTACAAGAATGTCTACGTTGATGTCTCATTTTTTCTATTTCGTTTATATTAATATCCTATATCACGAGATGAAGAATCACACCAGTAGATGTGATAGAATACGTAAATTTTCAAATTGTAATTTCCTGTCAGTCGATGTTCTCAGTTTATTAAGGTTTCTCAATATTTTCAATATAAAAATTTAACTAAACACGACCTGTCCAACATGGACATCGCGCTTCACTTTTCTCAGTCACGGGGGTGAACCATACATAAGGATCTCAAAATTGAGCACGTGTATTTCCGATGATCCCGATGGGCACTATAACTCATTATTATGCTTCAGAAATCCATATGTTATTTTTACTTAAAAGAAATTCGAATGTATTTTGTATTTCTACGCTCCTGACTTCTTCTGTATTTTTACTATTTTTGTATTGGATTTTCACGTGTGTTCTGGTGTAATGTGTATGTAACAGACTCATAGTACAAAGTTTTCGCGAACTCTGACAACAAAATGATACTGATCATTCAACAAACCCTTATTCATACAATTATTGAGCATTTTGGTTCAAAACAAATGTAGATTCGGGAAACGTAAAGATGATGAATTCTTGCATAGCATATTCTTTAATTTTCGATGTTCGATGCTGAGCTTACAAAAATGTATTACAAGACCACATTGTGCCTTTGTTGGCACTTAAATTGCATGCCTCGAGAAGAGTCAAACTATTTTAAGAAACTGAGCTTTTTAGTATAAAAGTAATTATTTTAATGCTATGTGCGATTGGTGACCGATTCTGCAGTATTTTTTCACCATATTTCTGCTGCGTTGCAAACGCACTAAGGGCTATTTTTGCATATTTTGACCTCTTTTTGGTAATTTACATTGATTGTCTACAAGTGCCGTCTGCATTGTGTTATTTATTGTCTTCGATCATTTCACAATATATGTTTTATATTACGTTTTATACATATATTTTAAAAGAATTTGTCTATGTTGGAAGGTCAGTAATACAAGCAATAATTATGAGTAAAGTATTTGGTGTAAGTCATAACAACAAACCACACAAGAATTATATATGAATGTTGTTGGCAAGTGTATGATCCGATATTACGTATTTTTATAAGGCTAAAAAAAAGAATCTTCTAGAAATATTATCATTCGTAATGTAAATGTTTATCCTAAATCATGTCATAAAAATATCCAAATATAAAGTTTCTATTTTTTCCTTTATAAAATTATCTAAAATACTTATAAAGGAAAATGTGCCCATTGTAGACCGACCCCCCTTGAAATATGTGTTCCATATACATGTATGTTAATCTGAATGATTAACATGCATGCTGAAATGTATAACAAAGGCTTTATAAAGGCTCACAATATTCCAAAGTCTGTTCACAATTCCAAATTGCCAATTTTACAACTGAAGATTACTTTGATTACTGTCACAAAAAGTATTACAACAAAATTTTCAAAGCTTTATTTTTGGGCATGGGGATCGAGCGTAACAATTTAGGGTTTTTACCCCAAAACATTCCAAGTTATAAGAAAAATTGATACATGTAATTGAATATTTTTCTTTATATTTTTTCCACAATTTAGCCTTGGCCTTTGGTAGAGAACGAAACACGTAATGATTAAACGGACTGTGCAAGATATTCTCTGTTCAGAAAGGTATTAAATGAGAAGGACTGTCACTTCTTTTCTCAGTGATAACAATTACATAGCGTTTGTCGGAATGCAAATTTGAAATAGTTCCCTACTTCACGAGTTGCGTCATCAGGTAATAATTACTGCGTTAACAACCACAGGTACATGTAAAGTTCCAAAGTTCTTGGTACCATACGTGTACGCATATGGACATTGAAAAATTCCCCCTAGGATCGTGCTAGCATCGGGGCCAGCATTTCACCTTTCATAATCTAGACCATTGTCGGATACCCACGATTGATAAACATGTTACATAACATGCAATCTGATGAATGTTAATGGTTCGGCCGTGGGTATCCGACGATGAATCTAGACCTAATTTGCACATTGCGCATAGGCCACCAAATACCTAGGCGATTTCAGAGGGTCCAATTTTATTAAAATATTAATACAAATATTTTTATAAAATTTATCAACAGTAAAATTATATTGATTTCATTTTTATATGGTTGATTCCCGAAAAAGTTGTAACATAGAATGTCTCGGTTATTTAATACACATGAATAATTTACATAAACAGAATAAAATGTTCAGAAACAAAATATTATTTTGGTTTTATCCATTTAGCAATGCTTTTTGTGCATGCATCATTCGCTTTAATTAATTTAATTACCATGTTCATAAAAGCATTTTTCCAGTATTCTTTTGTTAAATTCAAACAATAATTTTTATATCACATATATAGCTTTATAAACTTTAAAGGATAAAAATACATGTACATTGATATTTATAATATTATACATGGCAAAATTATACATATAAAATTTACGGTGTAAGGGAGATAACATCTTAAACGAAGTTGTCTACCGTAAAAGTAGACTGGGGAACAGTTTTAAGCTTCCGATTTGTTTGCACATGCGCAGAAATTAACTTACACAGTAATGGCGACATGTGCTCAAAATATTTGTTGATAAAATGTTGTGCCAGTATTCTTCCGTTACACTTGCTTTTGAGGTCTAATTAAGTATCGCAAATAAAATTGCTATTTGTCCAGGCTATTTTTATACTCTACAGTAGTTGACACTTTATAAAATGACTTTGAAAATATGACAAACGATTAGACAACGTGGCTGAAGTCTAAAAAAGTTGCGCAAGTGCAACATATTCTGCAGAATATGTTTTCTATACTGTCGTTTTGAATGCCATATTGTTAAGTGAGGAAACATACCAATATGTATTAACGATTTGACAAACTGCCTTTGTTAGAAGGTATCTCTGATAAAGGCAAAAATACTGTATTGTTGAGATTTTATTTGCTAATAGTTCTTGGTTTAAACAGACTGTTTGTTTGATTCATTTTTGATATTTATTGAAATTAACAATATGTCTACAGCAATGACATCTGTATCCCAGGATGAGACTGAAAAGTTTCAGTCTAAGGCTGTGAATCCAAATATATCGGAACAGGCACCCGTAGAAAATGTATGGGCCAAACGCACCCTTGAAAAAAAGTTATCTGCTAATACAAATACATTAGATACTAAACAAAAAGCAGATGAAACAGCAGAGGTGAAAGTGCCTCAAGGAAAAACATCAGATGATGAGTTTCAAGAGGTGAAGAATAGAAAAGAGAAAAAAGATGAGCGCAAAGATGACAAAAGTAGGAAAGTTGAAAAGAAAGACAATGATAAAAAAGAAACAGAAAAGAAAGAGAAAAAAGGTGATAAAGATGAGAAGAAAGAAGAAATAGTGAAAAAATTTGATAATGTGAACTATGTTGAAGCACCATTGCCAAAGACAAATCCATGGGGTGTATCAAAGTCTTCTCCTGTTGTCCGAAGTCAAAGTTCAGAAGCAGGTAAGGAATAATGATGCATTTATCTGTTTTCTGTAATTTTCATTTATTTTGTACAAATAACCAGTGCTTGGAATTTGACTCATTTGCTTGTGATGACAAGTCAAATCAGCTGCAGGAATCTGGACATACAGAAAATGAAGCCCATGCATCAGACAGGACAAGTGGAAAATCATTTAGGTAGAAAAGTGAACATTCTGTCAACCATGGGTACAGCTGAAAAATACATACTGGAAATAAAAGCTTGGTTTTACGTTTTCCTTTGTTAATGCACACATTTACTATGTTCATTCTGTCAGTCTTTTACTGATGTGTGGAAAATTGTCTCTTTTCTGCAGAAACATCTATAGTTATAGTTGTCCAGTTTGTCATTGATTGTTAAATATATTTTAAATAGTTTCAAATTGTTTTTATTATGATGTAATATAACATCTGATTGATAGCTTATGGTGTGTTATTGGTTCCTGGCATATGTATTTATATTTGCTTGTTTACTATCAACTATGTTTATGCGTTCTTGTGCAAAATTAAGGATATACATAATCCCAGCTTTGTAATCAATGCATCTTACAATAAATAATCATACCAGGACGCCAGATCATGCATACCGAGAACCCTAGAAACACATTCAAATGATTTTCACTGTTCCTACTTTGAAATTTGATACATTAACAGCGATTTTTCCCTAAATTGTGAGTTGATATGGTACCATAACAATTAAAAAGAAATCCAATTTTTTTCTTAAAATAGTGATAATTTTATTATTTTTTGCCCTGATTGAAAATGGATTTTCCATTTGCTATAAATAAATTTTGTATTGTATTATAGTCACTATTTCATGAGCATGACTGTCACCTAATTTGTATTTATTCCCTTCTCAAAAGCAATGCAAATAAATTTCCCAAATGTTAAGCAGACAGCAATTGCTTGGCCAACCTGTCAACAGTCTCTGCGAACATCGATGGTCTCTTGTTGTCAATATGTTTTGACATCAGAGATTACTGAAGACCGTTGTTTAGTAGTAGGATATTACCTTTGAAAACATAAATTACGCATAGAAATATGTACAAAAATTTAAAAGTTAATCAATTGCTTATATTTATGTTGATATGAAGTTAATAAAAGTAATCACATTATCTTTTCCACATTCTTTTGAGACTGGAGACCATTGAAGACTGGAGACTGTCAATTTGCAGGCTCTTCAAAGTGGAACAACATGACAAATTTTTATTTTGTTAATTTACTGTTAGTGTTTAAGTTAATGTACCTTCAGCCCTTAAAAGTTATTCAAAAGCACACAGCTGTAGATAAAGCCCACAAATTTTATTGTTTTATGGATTTATGCAAAACTTTCTGTAATTGAGGACTTGTCCCATTCGAATTGGAACACAAAAGATGTATTGGCACTGAGTCCCAGGTACTCAGTAAGGTAGGAAAAATTGCTTACACTGTGATAAAGTTAAGTTTTGTTCCAAAAATAACATAAGTTTTTTTTAAACTTTGAACTTTGTTCAGTTATTTGTAACACTGTTTAATTTAAGTTGCTGACACATGCTAAAATTACTGTGTTTTTTTAGCTGTAGTTTCTAATCAAAAGACAAAAGCAAAAAGAGAAATCCAATCAAGAAAATCGTACTGAAAATTTTATTTCAAGACAAAATCAAGTTGATTTTTCTGAACAAAAATTAGTGTATTTGCTGTTAAACTTTGAAAATTAAAAAAAAATCCAAGTAAGTTTTGTCATAATTTTGCCTTGCTAGTCTTCTGATCATGAAAAAGTAGTCATATATTATGTTAAGTTGTTGAAAATAATTGAATACTACCTTTATTTTCAATACTTGTACTGGTTAGAAAATTGCCGACATTATTATGAAGTTTTGAAATTTTGAATAAGCACAAAGTCTGATATGTAAATACAAGTTGAATTAATGAAGAAATAGCTGTATATTGGTGGTCAAAGGCTAATGACTTTAAATTCCAGCAGGTTGGAGGTAAATTCCTCAAAATAATTTGAAAGGTCCTGATAAATTGGAATAACATGTACTGTAGATACTTAAAAATTTATTAGCAGTGTTTATTTCCTGACTAGAATTTCAGTTTGTGACTTTTTAAATGTAAATTTGAGCTAAATAGTAAAAAGCCATACTTATATAAGATTTGTCTCGTTTCCTTTCAGATTGATTATACAACCACCTGGTTAAAATGCGCCCCATTATAGAGCTAACCTCAGTCTCATAGGCCTTAGCACCCCATTAAAAAATTATTTTTCCCCAAAAGAAAATTTATAACACATAAATAGTTTGTTTATACCAATTTATTTCGATAGTGCTGGAATTGAAGCACTCTGAAATCTGTTCCTGGAACTTAGCAATGGATGCAAAGTTTTTTGCTTAAGGAAACAAGGGCTTGCTCTGACAGGGATTTAACCCAAGCGGCCAGCAATCCTTAGATTATCGGTACTAGTCTGACACATAAACCATTAGACCACACCACCAAAAAAAGTTCCGCAAAGAACCTCATGAGTGGCAGTAAGAAGTTAAAAAACACATTATTTGTCCATTACTGCTAATGCACAAAAATTGTATTCAATATTTGTCAGTTAACATGCATGAAAAGGGTAAAAAGTTGATAAACATTGCTGAACTAATTGAAAATTTCTTGTTGGGTCCCAGGGCTTCAGCTAATGGAAGTTTGGGAGTCATTTACTCCTTGATTTTGGCTTCTGACTTCCAAAATTTAATGTTTTTTCTTCTTTATCTATCTAATGTGACTTCCAATGTCAGACAATTTGCAGTCTCTGACTTCCAAATTTCGGAACTTATTGGAAGCCCTGGTTGGGTCCAATAGGTTAACAAAAATACTGGTTTATAAATGTAAAAGATATTTGTGTTAACTGTGTTATTCAAACTGATCACTTTCATCATTCCAAATATGCCATAATTATTCCCCCTTTTGAAGAAGTGGTTGGTTCCTTCATTATGGTGGCCGATTTCTGCCATTTCTTGTCTTTGTTCCTCAAAAGGAGAAGACACGATAATAGACCCACTAATAGTGTCTTCCCCTTTGACATTAGAGGGCGCGGACACTAAGACACAATATATTTTAGGGGAAGTAACAATATTTTAATAGGCGTAGACACAAAATCTTTTTCTGTATAATTATCGTGACGGCAGGTGAAGATCTTCAAATTGGTGCCCTATATTTGTTGTGTCTTTGCCTGAAAATGCGAAAGGCTAAGACACAATAATTGGCCAATTTATTTTGTCTTTGACTCTCAGGGCAAAGACACGACAACATGACTTGATAAATTGGCCAATTATTGTGTCCTTGTCTCGAAGACACAACAGGGCAAAAAACCCTTCTTTGTAGAGGCCGAATTTTTGCGATTTTAAGGTATTACAGGTGAACAAAAATGGTAGCACCTAAATAATGTCAATCAACATTTATTTTAAATACCAAAAATGAGTCTTGTGTTTCGCTGGGAATATATTTGAAATATCTACTCTATTACTATTGTAATGCAAAATTACACTGATTTCACTGGTGGCGACGCTTTTTGTAATGGATGATTTGATTAGTTAGTTTAAAAATAGCTTTATTGGAAAATCCAAAACAGAGTCACTGACTGTCAGATGTACATGTAAACAAAAAATATCTGAAAGAGGAATTACTTTAATTACTGAAGTTTACAATAAGCTATGCAGGGACTACCTTGGACTGAAAATTTAGGGTGACTTCTCCCTTCAGGAAAAATAGGGAGAAGCTTTGAAATTTAGGGAGAAGTGATCATCAAATCGAGTTATATCATTGGATTTTTTTTCTTATTTTATTTCACAAAATATACATGTACACCTTTATATGGACATGCATATAAAATATACTCGATACTGCAGTGATTTTTTTACAAACTCATCAGTGTGGGTCCTAGGACTCGCTGGGCTATAAATCTATGAGTCCCAAAATTTAGCCGACTAATCCAAGCTACAAGGCTTAATATTGCTTTAGTGATATGAAAGGTATATTATCAATGGAATGAAGAAAAAATGAATTTGATTTCTAAATTAATTACAATGCTTCTGATACTGAAATTATTCAAAACTGTCAAATAAATTTAATAAGTTTATTTCCATTTATTTAGTTTGAGATTATTCAAAGCTTTATTCCTTAATATTTTTATGCTTATCTATAGTAAATAGAGGATACTGAATGAGTGTAGGTTTAATACTAAATTTATTGAACGAGTTGAATAAAATCATATTGTGCTCGCCTCTCTGCGAGCCTCTGGCGAGCTTATATTGTTTTATTCAACGAGTTTAATAAATTTAGTATTGAATCTACACAAATATAATATTCTATTTATCACATATATAAAATAAGAACGGTAAACTTTTAACAAGAGCCTTTTTTATTTGATGCGCCTATAGTGTAAGGCTAACATAAGCGCGCTGTAACGCTATGTTTATAGCGCAAATGACGTCATGTCAAAGTGTTATTACACTAGTGTAATATATCGTTTTTATTAAATGGCTTTATTACACTCCTGCGCTGCGGTTTATGTGATAAAGCACATTATTACTTCTTATCTGTAGAAGATTTGCAGACCTAGAATATGATTGACATAACTTGAAAACAATTTGGTATTTATTACCAAATTCCTGTCAGACGGAAACGCTACTCAGAAAAAGTTGCTCCAAAGAATCCAAAATTGAAACTTTGCTCCCACAGGAAATCTGACCCATACTGAGGTGAGAGTAAAAAAATCAGAGGATACTGGGCTCTGGAAATAAACAAATGTTGTATTGGTAATTTTGAATCGCAAGACTAGTTGGCATTTGATTTACATCAACACAACATTTTTAGCTCACCTGTCAAAAGTGACAGGGGAGCTTTTTGTGATCGCTTTTCACGTCCGGCGTCCGGCGTCCGTCCGTAAACTTTTACTTTAAATGACATCTCCTCATAAACCACTCAGCCAATTTCATCCAAACTTCACAGGAATGTTC